TACAGATAATAAACTAACCTATTAATATAGGTTGAAACATGAAAAACGACCTGGGAAAAACTCTAGTTTTCTTTAAAAATTAGATACATCAATATTTTCACAATATTAATTTTTTTTAGACTGAGGCGGAAATTCAACTTTACTGATCCTCTTTTTTTACTATAATAATGAACTATATTTTTACAAAGAATATAATATAATTAAGAGTTATTGAAGATCTCAAAATATTTTATTATTCTTTAAAAGAATAGGGGATTCTATTTAAACATATAATTTACCTACGAATGAATCCAAATTTTCCTCCGCCTAAATCTATTAGTGCACCCACACTTCAGCTGTTTTTCGTAAAATTTTCCTAGTTTTGTTTTATGTATACATTAAATATTTCTACTTACAAGTAATAATTCATTTATTTTTTACTAATTTATATTCAAATAATCGTAATCGTATAGATTATACGCATGTAGGCTTCAGAGTAACACAAATAAATTTCTATAAAACTAATTGTTATATTAAAGCATATAATTAATAAGGGTAATTGTTTATTTTAAAGGCCACAACTCAGATTCTTCTAATTTTGGGGGGTTTAAAAAGATAAATAAAATAACCAAACCGAATCAATATATTTCCTATCGTAATTTAAGCTAACCCAGCCTGACCTAAGCTACCAAACAATGTTTTTATTAGGATCACAAGGTTATTTAGGGAAACACAACATTTTTTTTGCTTGCGAACCCACAAAAAATTGTAACTTTCGATTCGTTTGGATGAGGGTTGGATATGGTTGCTTTACTTACTTTTTTATCCCGGAAATTTATGGAATGAAATAAATACTCAGCACTGTATAGCTAACTAAAACTTAAACACTTACATTATTAAGTTTACTTTTCTTCGCACTTTCCATCTTTTTAGCAAATAATCCAAATTCACCACTATTTATATTAATATCCACACCAATTTACAGACACACGTCTTTCTAACAAACCATGACCGATACTAATTGTAAAGCACGAAAGCAAGTGTAGAGATAATTCGGTTATTAAAGGTCATGCGTTCTTATTAGATAAATGTTTAACATAAATATCTATATATACCGAGGTCAATTTGAAAGTAAAATTACAAAATATAGAGACAACACCATACTTTATGGACCATTTTTAAATGTTTTAATTGCTTAATGATAAACAAAAATTAATAGCCTTCTTTTTTCAATTTATTTTATTTAATTTAATCTTTACTTGTTGATGATATATGAAGTGATTAGCAAATATTTATTAATCAGTTTACTAAATTGTTCAAAGGAAATTTTTGGAAAACACCAAATATCTCTGATTGGTGCAAAAGAAGATAAGAAGCAAAACTTTTAATGTAAATGCATAATTACAATGTATTGATGAACAAATATAATAAAGAAGTCCGAAATGACATTTATTTAACAGTCCTTAAAAGAAACCACTTCTGTGCTGACTTACAATTAATTTTGAAATTCGAATACGTACGGGAAAGTTACGGTAGATACTGGATAGAGTAGGAGAACAGAGGGCACTGTCGATAGAACACCTTCTAAAACATGAAGAGCTAGATAGATATACAAGTAAAACAAGGAGTAAAAGGAGATAAAGAAAAAATGTGCTGTTTACAAATAGTTAAGGATGTAGGATGTTCTAATTTTGGAAAATGAGAAGACTGACTCAGGATAATATGGGAAGGTACATGTCCGATAATGATGATAAATAGTCGCTAAACAATTTTACGTTTAGTTACTCTTTTTTAACTTACCTTGTGGGATAATCTACTAAAGATCTTTTACATACATCATTGAGGATTTCCTAAGATGCAGACATTTGATTTGTTGATCTCTGTAACCCCTGCCAAGTACAGGACTTACCAGCAAACAGTAAAAAGTTCAAGATATTTAAAAACGTTTCACGGGGATGGTCAAAGAAAAAAAATAAAACAATAAAATACACATAAAATGTAAGTAGGCTATTTATTTGAATAAATAAATTCAAAAACAATAATTTTTCAAGTCTATTAGTCGCAAAAACAAAATGTAGCCTTTGACGGTACTCTTATAAATTTACTTATGTATTTATTTACGCAAAAATACTTTAAACTTAAAAATGTTTTCTTTTGACTTAAAAATTAACTAACAACGCTGGAATAAAGCTTTCTTTGAACAAAAGCTAAAAACTCAACGATTGTAATTTTCTCATATTCAGTGTTACACAGAACAAAAAGAAAATCATTTACAGTTCATCCTCTTATTTACATACATATCTAAAAAAATACATCGCAGGAAAAATATCTTAATATAATTCAATCTACATACATATATACATAATGCACAGAATGTTTGCTGTTAATGTTCCTGTTTATGTTCTTTCATTCTTTTTTTCGGCTAAAACAATACCCATTTTACTTTTTAACGACTTGTACCTCCTTTCGCTGTAGCAAAGATTATTTTAGTTTTATTTTAAAGTCGAACGACAAACACTAATCGTCTCAGTCGTTAACAAATGTTATTGGAACATATAAAATTTCAATGTGTGTTTTAACTCGTGCTATGTGTATTATAAGCTCAATATGTATTATAAGTTGGATATTGTCATGTTGTAAGTATTTAATAGCTTAAAACAATTGATTATACTATAGCATGTTATTAAATGTGACCTATATCCTGTTAATTTCACCCTTAACCGCTAACCAGGTTCCTACGATGAATCTCTGTAAATAAGAAAAATACAAACATTAATATACAAATCCTAAATATAGCATTGCGGTTGATTAAGTAGAAAAATATCCTCCAAGCTTCTGAAAAATGATATTTATGTTGTACTTCCCATTAAATGAAGTGTATTTATTGCTTTTCTGTATAATTAAATGGTCAAATTGTAAAACAAAACAAAAAATTTCAGTAAAAACTTTTTTCGGTAAGAATATTTACTTTCTCAAGTTAAAAATAGCTATAAAGCTTCAAAATCTTTGTTTCTTAAACAACTACACTTTATTCTAAGCAATAAACTAATATAAAACGTTTAAATTTTCAAGTAAAAACCTTTTTTGTCATTAAAGTTATACAAATCCGTATTTTTTGTAGAAAATGGCCTGTTTTGTGGCTCTATACGAAAGAAATTGATTAAATTGTTAAACTAATCATCAAGCCCTATCGTTTCTATCACGGAAATATCTACAGTTTCATGGAAAAACAGATTGTCAAGAATAAACTCGTGAAGTATGAGAACTACCTTTGTTTACCTTGTAACTTTATCAATGACACTTCGCAATCTTTGTTCGGAAACGGATGGCACTAGTTTCTGCACCATTTCACAGATAAAGGACTCACTAATACCAGGACTAGTTCTTTCGGCAATTTCAAAGGCGTTTTTCAGTTCCTCGATAGCGTCGCACGTTTTATGAGACGATTCTGGTCCCCGGCCGTTGTAATGGTGCTTTCTTTGTAACTGCAACACAAAAATGAAATTAATCTTCAGTACAAATTCCAAATAATTTATTTTTATTAATTACCTCTGATATTAAGGGATAGATAACAGTCGTAAGGCAAGGTGACCTATTGTCAGGTTTAACCCCCGTATTCGAGTGCTCTCGAGATGTGGGCCTACGGTTCGATTTTTTATCTAAATCATCCCTATCCCCTCGGTGATCTAATGGACTTAATTCTCTAGAAATTCGTTTTTCACGGTCCTTTTCTCTTTCCCTATCCCGTTCCTTTTCTTTTCGATTATCAGTTAAACTTTGCGTCGAAGATCTTGATGACTACAAAAAGAAAAAGAATCTATTATGCATCAACCAAATTCACGAAAATTTATTATAACAGCATAAAATTAATAAAAATAAGTACTTACAGGTGTAGCTTTGTCAGTCCTGTAGTGATTTAAATTTGAATCTTTAGGTGGCGATTTAGTCAGTGTGGGACCTGAGCCATTTTGTACCTTATTCGTAATCTTATGGTTTAATACTACATCGTCAGCCGGCGTCTTAATTGCATGGTTTCCCTTCACTGTCATTATCCAAGGGTCGTCTAAATCACTGTCTTGCTTCGGTTCCTCACTGTAAAATTTATTTTAAATATTTTTTTTACATTTTATTAAATTAACAGTAGATCAATAAAGAAAAGTTTAATTCAGAAGGCAAATACTTACGAATCGGAATTTTCCGACTCAGTTTCGCTTTCTTCGCTTCTTGTACATTTCCATTTCTTGTATCTATCGATTAAGTCTATCAAATAGGAATTCTTCTTCGCCTTTCTTATAAAAGGAAATTTCAAGAGTTCTTTTGCAGTAGGTCTCTGCAATTAAAATAGTCGTATAAAATACAACGGTTTATTTTAATATAGGTGCATACCTCATTGCTATTATTTAATGTAAAACGTTTTAAATAATAACACCACAACAAAAGAAGAAAAGAAAATGATTTTCAATATAAATCTAAATTACATTGAATTATACGATTCCTTTTTTATATTTGCTGTATTTTACACTAACAAGTTATTATTACTATTTTTAGTCCAAAATTCACTGAAAATTAATCGCTTTTCAATAAAAAAAAATCACCATCACATCATAATTATTTTTGAAACTTTTATAATTTTCAAAATAAAATCATGTTCTATAAATGCATACATAAAGTCGTTAAACATATTGACTTCCATTTCATCGAACAAATATTTATGAAGCGACTTCTAACGCAATTTGCCGATGGATTTTAAATAGTCCCACATCTTCGTCAAACTCAGCAAACGATGACAAAATATTCTATTTTTGCAATTATTAAAAGATAAATTGGGAACAAAATTCAAACGTTACGAAACTCTATACTGCTTTATAAGACGCATTCTAATTCAACTATGTATAAATTAATTCCTTAGCAATTTTTAATTAAAAAAATATAAAATATTTATATGAAAATTTAGTGTACGTAAAAGAAGTACTGTTCAAAAGATTGTCAACCTTTTTCATTCACCACGTATTCCAAAAACAAAGTGGAATCCTCAACCTCTGCAATAACCTCTCATTCTAATGCGGTTCGGATTCACACTCAACAGTTGTTTCACAATGGAAAATGATAAATGTACATACGTAGGTATTCGAGAAAACTTACATTTTCCGGGTCTTTATTGAGGCAAGCTTCGACAAAGTCCTTAAACTGTTTCGTATAGTTTCCAGTCAATTGTGGAGGATTGTTTTTCGGAATGAGAAACAGTACTCTCATCGGATGCAATTCCGAATTGGGAGGTTCACCCTTGGCAAGCTCGATGGCCGTGATCCCTAGACTCCAGATGTCTGCTTTCGAATCGTAAGCGGACTGTTTGATGACTTCTGGCGCCATCCAGAACGGCGTCCCAACGAAAGTGTTCCTTTTACTTGTTGTATTTGTCAGTTGACCCGCCACTCCGAAATCGGCCAATTTCACATCACCCATTTCACTAAGAAGAACATTGGCTGCCTTTATGTCCCTGTGGAGCTTCCTTTCGCTGTGCAAATAGTCCAGACCTTTTAATACTTCCCGTAAAATGATAGCGATATGCATCTCCTCGAAATTGCCCGCTTTCATTAAATCCAATGCCGATCCTCCACCCAAATATTCCATGATGATCCATAGCTTCGTTCCCTGGAAAACAAAACACCAACATATTTCTCTTCAAACTTACTGGTTATTTAATTCTCTTGATGAAATTGTATTCATTTAAAGAAAAAACAAAAACATATACAGTGGAATTCGTTTATTATGAATCCGCCTATATTGACCAACCGTTTAATATGAAGTAATTTCAGTGTTCTCAAATTCTCTATAGGAAACTTTGGATATAAGAAATCATATCCGGCTATAGTAGCCCAAATGATTAATAATAACATTTTCGCTCATTTTTCTGGCCCTTCCCACTTCCTGTTCCTGCAAGGAAGTTTTGTGCGTTCGTAGCGTGAGGCTCGTTTTTGTTTTAATTTTCAGTGACGAGTTGATAGTTCAAGGATTCGTATGTATTGTTATTGTGATTTGTACACAAAATGACATCGCAACGTAGACCATTTACCATTGAAGAGAATGTTGTTTATTTTCTAAAACTATGCTTTGTATGACGCCCGCTTGGTATGACGTGTTTGTCATTTCCTTTCGATGTCATTATAAGCAGATTCTACTGTACAGTCAAAATCTGTTATAACGACATCGTAGGGACCACTAATATTTGATCGTAATATCCGATAGTCATAATAATAAGTTATGTTTTTAAGGTGAAAGAATCGATGATAGAAACTGTTCGGCGCAAAACTATTCAACAAATGCCTATTTTTAATTACTTATAAAAAAGAAAAATCACTCTAACGCAAGTTTGTCCTTCAAAATGGGCCATCCCAGAATATTTCAGAAATGAATAGAGAGGGTGTCCTCAGGTAGGTTTTAATGGGACATTTTTCGATTTCATTGCTAGTTTTTCCTCCGTGGAGCTTCAAAGTTGACAAAGCTTTTTCTTCAAAATATATAAGACTCGATTATGATTAATTCGTGCATGATGAATTCAAATATCATATTCACCTACAGGAATCAACTTTTTAATTATCAAAATCGATCGAGATTTAATCAATTTTGACACCCTATGGCAGAAAAACTACCCATGGAATCTAAAAACCACCCATCAAAACATACTCAAGGACATTCCTCTATTCGTCTCTGCAATAATGTCACATGGTCCATCACGATGGACAAACTTATATGAGAGTGATTTTTCTACTTTTAATGCTCGTTTCTGCGTACAGTACGCCCCTGACTTTGATCGATAGATATAAGGTACCTTTGAAAAAGTAATACGAACGTACGAACGAAAGTGCTTTGAAATGGACGCGTTGCGCAAGTGACTATGTAGATCTCGTCAGGAAGTGAACCGTTTAATCCAATCGCACATTATGCATTGTATTGTAGACGAAGAACAATATTCGGTCTAGCGAAATGAATGACTAAACAAAACAGTTCTTTGCTGAAACATGACACTGGGCAACAAATAAAAGCAATCTAATAGGATCGGCTGTATTAGTAATACAGCCAGTCGTTCGTCGCGCCCTTTCTTTTGCATCGAAGGCGATCTAGTTTGCACTCTGCTAACGGCCGAAGTTTGTACACGTGCAGTGGCGTAACTGAAGTAATTACAGTTCAAAACAAATCAATTAAACTAGAGATACAAAAGACGTCCACGTCTTAGGTTTGACCTCATCTGTTTATCGAAAATTTAATTTTTGAAGGTAATCAAACGCAAAACTCAAGGGATGGAATGCAAATGTATGAACGAAGCAGGTGCATGTTTCACAAAAATAAGGGTAACTGTCTAGAATTGGGGCTCTAGACCGAAATCACTCCAAAAATTTTTTTATTGATTTCCGATTATTCTACATAATAGAATTACATATTAGAAGGTGGGAGATACAGTTTTTTAAAATTTTTTGAATGATAACTTTTCAAAATTGCCCCAAGAGCTTAACTAATGCCCCTGGCTGATATGTTAGAGTATTTTATTCACAGAAAGCATTAGTTTTATAAAATTCCTTGTACAATATCGAAATTTCATACAATTCCTAGAATTAGGGCTCCAAACCAAAATCGCTCCAAAAATTTTTCATCGATTTCTGATAATTTCTGAGGCGGGGAGACACTTTTTTATTACAGCATACATCACAGGGTATATGGTGCATGTATAGCTATTTCTTCTTGTAATATTAATAAAAGAATTTTATGCAGTGACAATCGTGAGATTAGGAGATTAAAAGCTTATATAACGTTTAACACCCCACACCCTTCCGCCCCTGATCTCCGCACCTATCTCATCCCGTACCTACAATTTACATCTCTGATTTAAATTTTGAAAAATTATCATCACCTAATATCTAATCCTATTTACGGAAACCGATGAAAACATTTTTGGAGCGAGTTTGGTCTGGAGCCCCAGCCAGTTCTGGATATTTCCCAAAATAAGTAAGGAAGAAACATTGAAATACATTTCCGGGAAGTTTTAGTAATTTCTAGAATTTTCCGGATATCTAGGCGTTTGTCTTTATCGGATTAAAATAAATGTTTCAAATTATTTGCATATCATAAATTCCTAATTCCTATACAGCGTTGAGCAAAATACATGTTATAAATTCCTAAATGTACCTATACATTTAATAGACGACCTATCTAACCAATGTAGAAGGAATTACAATTTGTACAAACGGTAATTCATATTGATCTGAATTATCAAGCATATCAGTTTCTTCGTTTTTATTTATTAAAATTAATTATTAATTTTAAATTGTTTTTATTAACGCAAATGGTATCTTTTGATTTAGAAGCGGAAAAATAATGTTTTTGTTTTTTGAAAATTAATCGAAAGTTTTACATTTACTATAACCAACTAATGTTTTTAATATTTTCGAAAGTTTAAATCTTCCAACTTTAACAGATACAAATTTACATATATACAAAGTAGTAGTAAGTTTAAGTAAAAAATAAATGAAATTCTTATTTGAAAAGCACACACCAATTAATTTTTGCTTTAGTTTCAATCTCGTAAAATGGATAAATGAGAATTACTAGAAACTTCTATTAGAATTAAACTAAATTAATCATTCTAAAAGTAGTTTATTGTTACAAACCGTTATGTTAAAAGTTTAAAGTATGTAAAGCCATCATTGTAATGTTTACTGTTTGTTTTTCATTCCTTTAACTAGTATGTTTTCTACGCCTACTATCCTGTAATAAGGCGCACTTAACCATTACTTAAGTACTCAAGCAAATTTAGTAAAAGCCTACGCAAAAAGAAAATTTATTTTACAACGTAGAAAATAAAAACTAATTGATAGTACATACACGAATAACTTTAAACCTTGTAAATACTAAAAATGTAGCAATGTAACTTACTGTACACTAAGAACCGAGAATATTTTTTTCATCAAGGTAAGGCAAGATGTTCACCAAACATGGAAATTACACATTCCTTTGTCGGCATATTTTCTATTTATGTCACTAGCAAAAATGCACAATCTGATGAAAGTGTGGAATATATTTTTTCAACTACGACTATGTGAAAATATTCATGTTTGTCTGAAAAGTATCCTAAACTAACCGAACCCCCAAAATCATTTGAACAAAGCGAAACCACTCAAAAGCTTTAATTGAATTATTGAATTTATTGGACTTTATTGCTTATAGGAAACGATGGCTGTAGGAAGTTGTACGAATTTTCCTACATACCACATGTCTCTCTTTGATGATTGCATGTGATAGAACATCCCTATGTTCTATACCTACACTCACGATGAAAAATAATGCGTACATGCAATAAATAACGATTTGATCAAAAACGTGACAATAGAGTATAAATATATTTTTTCCTGCAAATACCTAGTAATAAAGTTGTTAAAACTAGGTATGTACATATATTTAGTGCAAAATTTGTTGTTATCAACTTTCAGATACTGGATACTATTTATAAAAATGATACGAAAAATTATATTCCCTAAAACCAAAAAATAAAAATTATCGCATCTTTTTAATTGGAGTACAATGTCAATGTCCACTTTTTTCCCCTAAAATACGTATATATTAATATTCTGAAAAATCATTAATACAATTTGTTCATGTCCCTGAATTTTTTATTCATTTCATTCAAATATTGACTGTTATCACAAAATAAGAACATTAAATCATTTATCTATATTTGAAAATTCGTCATAACTATTGTTTTGTACAATTTTATTAAACGCGTGGGTCACTTACAAAGACTTCGTGGGTCAATATATGACCCTTGTGTCTTATTACATTCGCCACCACTCTCTACGTTACTACTAGCGAAAGGTGCCGAATATACTCATAATCAATCTTATTTAAAATGTGTAGTGACTACAAAATAACCAATTATGTATATAATTATGAAACCAATTTTATAATAACTATTACTTTCAAAATAGTTTGCAAAATAATCTGTACATGCAATGAATTTTTTTTACAATCTTAAAGGTATAAATACAAGGAATAATACTCTGTTAGATAATAACGATTGTAAAATTGAAAATCCTGATATTATAACCTTTACTGTATTATTACCATTATGAATTTAGTAATGAGCAAAATTAGTCTTGGCTTTGCAATCTTCATCTTCGTTTTCGCCTTCCCAAAATGCAAAACCAAGACCAAATATGCAAGACTAAACGAAAAATTATTATTTCCGATGGATATATGAAAATGGGATACTACAAGAATGTCCTTGAAGTAACTGTTCTTTATTCCTATGTCTGGATAGTACATGGTTGAAACATAGACAAACTAATTTTTTTTTTGATATTTTTAACTTCTTTCTAACACCCCCCCGAAGGGGATGGGGGCGGATGGGATCGAAAGAGGAGGTCTCCCTCACCACTGTACCATAACAAGTTAGTAGCGGTCTCATCCCTATAAAAAGTTATGGGGGTTAGATGGGGTTGGGGGTAGGGGGGATCGAAATAGGGTAGGGGGATCAAAAGAGGGTGGTCACCTGAGTTAAACTCCATAAAAACTTTGCGGCGATCTCACCCCCATAAAAAGTTATGGGGGTTGAAAGTTGATTATTTTGACAATCTTCATACACTATAATTCAAATAAAATCC